TATCTAATCATATCAAGTATTTTTGCTGTAAGCTTCTTTGCCATAGACATTTTGCCGCAAACATCTTTGGTACATAACTAATTGACTGTGAGGCAATTCTGCTGTAGAAGATAAAATAACTGGTTGACAGTTTGGTTTGACATATACAATACAAAAAAATATGTATGATGATGATTTCTTATTTTGAAACACACTACATTGGAGGAGAAAGAGGCTGAGGGCCTAGAAGGCACAGAGTTGAACCCACAATTCCTATGGAACTTTATAATGTCTATCAACAGGTGTGTGACAATCCATGCTCATGGATTAGTAAAATATCTACACTACCCTAAGCAATCTAGAGATTCGATGTAATCCCTATCAAAATTCCACTGGCAGTTTTCAGATACAGAACTAATAATCTTACAATTTGTATGGCACTACAAAATACCCCGAGTAGACAAAGCAATCTTGAGAAAGAAGAACAAAACTGGAGGCGTCACACTCCCTGATTTCAAACTATAGTACAAAGCCATAGTAATCAAAACAGCATGATACTGGCATAAAAACAGATGCACAGATCACTGGAACAGAATAGAGAGCCCAGAAATAAACCCATGTGCACATGGTCAATTAACTTACAAAAGAAGTCAAGAATGTACAATGGGGAAAGGAGAGCTTCTTCAATAAACTGTGTTGGGAAACTAGAACAGCCACATGCGAAAGAATGAAACTGGACCACTATCTTATACCACACACAAAAATTAACTCAATACGGACTGAAGACTTGAATATAAGATATGAAACCACAGAACTCCTAGAGGAAAACTTAGGTGTTAAGCTCCTTGACATAGATCTTGGCAATGATTTTTTGACTGACAGCAAAAGCAAGAACAACAAAAACAAAAATAAACAAGTGGGACTACATCAAACTATAAAGCTTCTGCACAGGAAAGAAAACCATCAACAAAATGAAAAGGCAACCTACTGAACTGGAAAAACAATTGCAAATTATATATCAGGTAAGGGACTAATATCCAAAATAAATAAAGAACTCATAAAACTCAACAGCAAAAAAACCACATTGATTTAAAAATGAGCAAAAGATCCGAACTGACATTTTTTCAAAGAAGACATACAAATGTCCAAAAGGTACATGAACTGATACAGAGAACAGATTAGTGGTTGCAAGAGTAGTGGGGGGTGGGGGTGGAGGAAAAAATTCAGGTTTGATTATAGTTAAAAGCTAAAGCCATAAATAAGAGTTTTTAACAGGAATTTTCCAATATGTCATTATACAGAAAAGTGCAAAGGCTAGCAAATATTTGGAAAATACTGACTTTATACACATTAAGAATTCAGACATTAATTCATGTTGCATATTTATACTTTGGTTATTCTATAACTAGTTACCATAAAATTGGATAATTTGGCAAAATTTTCATAGGATACTTTATATTAACTATAACGACTTAGGGCTTCCCTGGTGGTGCAATGGTTAAGAATCCGCCTGCCAATGCAGGGGACACGGGTTCAAGCCCTGGTCCGGGAAGATCCCACATGCCGCTGCCGTGGAGCAACTAAGCCCGTGCGCCACAGCTACTGAGCCTGCACTCTAGAGCCTGCGTGCTGCAACTACTGAAGCCCGTGCAGCTTGAGCCCATGCTCTGCAACAAGAGAAGCTACCACAATGAGAAGCCTGAGCACCACAATGAAGAGTAGCCCCCACTCGCTGCAACTAGAGAAAGCCCGCATGTACCAACAAAGATCCAACACAGCCAAAAATAAAAATAAAATAAAAAAATGTCTTAGTTATAAAATGTTAAGCCTCAGGACCATAATCCTTGCATGTTCATTTTCTGAAGAAAACAGTATTTACTTACTGAATGTTTGAAAGAGATAACTGTGTTTTATAATATTTAAACCACTATGACTTCAGTATTTTGTTATAATTACGTCAACCAGCATGTCCCTTTAAGGTTATGAACCATACATGTCCCTTTAAGGTTATGAAAATCCACTTGTCTTCCTCTTGAATTAATGATGATGAAGGAAAAATGAAGTGAGTATAGAAGAATATTTAAAAACAAAAATACAGAATCATGACTTTTCTCTACAACCTAATATAAAGATCTACTCCTAGAAGGAGCCAGTAATACTGGTAGACATTTTTTATGGTCTGATATAAGATATAAGTCCAAAGATTCAGGAAACACAACAAATCCTAAATAGAATAAATAAATAATAAACCACATACATGCACAATGTTATTAAACCTCAGAACTGCAGAACGATGTAAAAGAGAACAATGGAAACCATAGGAATAATAATTCTGAATCAAGAACTCTAGAAGCAGTTAAATTAGCATTCAAGAATGAGAGTAAAAAATGAAAACATGTTCAGCCTAGTAGTATACCAAGGGCAGGGCAGTGGAAACAGTTCCCCCGAGGGGCAATATATTGCCAATCAAAAATTTTAAAACAATAAAACTGAATAAAATTTCTTTTGCTTTTAAAGAATTGCAATGTCAGTGATAAAATATTTCTCCTGCCAAAATAGACCACTCCCACTGTCCTAGTCTTATATGCCACTGGTTCATCCAGAGGAAGATGAGAGAATTTCCAACAAGTCCTTATTATGGATATTCTAAAACTGTATTTTAGAAGAAAATGACAAAAGAAAAAGTTTGAGATACAAGAAGAAAAGGTGAACAAAGAAATGCATAAGCATAGATAAATCTAAGTAAACACTGCATGAAACAATAATAATGTCCAATTGAAGGGAGGTTAAAAAAACAAACAGAGATCCTCAAAAAGTTACACTCCTGGGTATTTATCCGAAGAAAACAAGAACACTAAGTCAAAAGGTATATCAACCCTCATGTTCACTGCAGCATTATTTACAATAGCCAAGATATGGAAACAACCCACGTGTCCACGAATGCATGAATGGATAAAGAAATGTGGTATAGATATGTCTGTATGTATATACATATATATGCATACATACACACTGTAAGATTAGCCATAAAAAATAATAAACTCTTGCCATTTGCAACAACATGGATGGGCACTGAGGGCATTATGCTAAGTGAAATAAATCAAACAGAGAAAGACAAATACTATATCCCACTTATATATGGAATCTAAAAAAAAAAGCTCAAAGATACAGAGAACAGACTGGTGGTTGCCAGTGGGGGGGTGGGCAAAATGGGTGAAGGGGGTCAAGAGGTACAAATTTCCAGCTATAAAGTAAAGAAGTCATAGACATGTAATGTACAGCATGGTGACTTCAGTTAGTAATACAGTATTGCATAGCTGGAAGCTGCTGAGAGAGTAGATCTTAAAAGTTCTTCTCGGGCTTCCCTGGTGGCACAGTGGTTGAGGGTCCGCCTGCCGATGCAGGGGACATGGGTTCGTGGCCTGGTCCGGGAGGATCCCACATGCTGCAGAGCAGCTGGGCCCGTGAGCCATGGCCGCTGGGCCTGCGCGTCCGGAGCCTGTGCTCCGCAGCGGGAGAGGCCACAGCAGTGAGAGGCCCATGTACTGCCAAAAAAAAAAAAAAAGTTCTTCTCACAATAAAAAAAAATTTGTTAGTGTGTGTAGTCATGTTATTACGGTGATCATTTCACAGTATTTACAAATATTGGATCAATATGTTGTGCACCTGAAACTAATGTAAAGTTCTATGTCAATTATATTTCAATTTAAAAAAGGAAAGAAAATCTGATAGGTAATAAAAACAAGTATGTTCCAAATCTGACTGGTCAGGACTTCCAATGGACTTGGGAAGGAAAGAATCTTTTGACACAGTGGTTTTCTGTGCACAAAGAGGTGTGACTGTGGTTTTGAAATCTTACTATAACCCTTCACACAGAAAGTTCATGTACACAACCACTGGTAATTCTCCCTAGTCTTTCAGAAAAAAACAAAGGAATACAACACACACACACACACACACACCAGAGAATGAAAATGCTGAACATCAATAACTCAAAAAAAAAAAAGAAAAAAAAGGGAAGGACAGTGACTAGAGCTCTAGAGTTCCAGAGATTGTGATTAACTTCAGATTTTTAGTTAAGCATATATGTTAAATATTTAATAACAGCACTAGAAAAAGAGAATAGACTTCTATTGACTTAAAAGTCAATATAAGGAAGCAAAAATAAATCAACTGATTGAATTATAACATGTTACCTAACTTCAGCTTGGTCTTCACATTGCTAGCAATTCTTACTTTCATCTGCTTAAGCTATCACATTTCTTTCAGTCACAATTCCCAACTTTTTCAGCTAGAGCTCCTCCTACAATATCCTCACGCTATAAAATAATATTCCCTACCACTTTACTAAGAAATTTGAAGCGGGTGGGATAGGGAGGGTGGGAGGGAGGGAGACGCAAGAGGGAAGACATATGGGAACATGTGTTTATGTATGACTGATTCACTTTGTTATAAAGCAGAAACTAACACACCATTGTAAAGCAATTATACCCCAATAAAGATGTTTAAAAAAAAAAAAAAAAGAAATTTGAAGCTATTGTGTATCCTCATCTGGCCTAAGTTAATAGTAACAGTCTTGCTCCAACAATTGAAGCTCTTGTCACTCTATATTGATAGGGTAGCCTCATTTACCTCCTACAAATGTGTTCAGTTCTGTTTCATCCCAAAATACCCTCCTCTCAACTCTGCTACCCCTTTTTAAGTTAAGGCCTTCCTGATTTCTGATTCTGAATTATATATAATCCATAGTCATAAAGGGTAGAAAACTTAGCTTCTGTTTTCATCCTATATTCTTTTTTCCAAAATGATATTAAAAACTGACTCAGCGTAGGCATGATCATAGTAGGTCCCATAAAGCAAAGACCGGGTATAATTAATTTTCTTCATATACCATCATGAGCAAGTAGACACAGAATAAATATTTTAAGTCTTTTTTATATATTTACTATTGCTTTCTTACATTTGTGAGGGTTAAATAATTGTGACAATTTGATCTATGCTCAAGTCTGAGAGGCACTTACCTTTTTTAAGTTTCCGGACAGCCAACATACAATGACTAGGAGAGAGATCCCATATTCTTAAGGTCTTATCATCACTTACAGTAGCACAGATGGGCAGATAAGGATGTGTAGCCAAACCCCACACCTCTCCTTCCATGTGTCCCTGTAAATAAAACATAGTTAAGATCAATTTAACCTAAAGATACTTGTATTTAGAAGAAAACTGAAGACAACATTCAATAATATATAATAATGATAGGATAATGAATAATAGATAAATCTAATAAAACTTTTCTCTTTATCTTTGGAATACACCTTAAAATAACTTCGTAACAGTTTTATCTCCACAGTTACAATATAATCAAGTTGCTGCTGAAAATTAGCTTCAAAATCCTACAACATTTAATGTAGAGAAAATAGGAATTGGCTTCCCTGGAATGCTAATAATTGTCATACAGGAGGGACTTCCTGCATGACAAAGCAAGGGAGTACTGCAGACCTGTGCACCAGTGAAACTGGTAGAAATTATTAAAAAAAAAATTAAGTCTCTGGAAATGGTTTCGAGGAAATAGAACAAATGAAGAAGCATTTACTCAAGAAAATCTGCTAAAATTCAGTAAGAACAGTGAGTTTGCTGTATTTGAACCGAGACACCCCTTTTCTCCCTCTTCCCCACTCACTGACATGAAAACTCCATACCAGATTGATGTAACCAAGAACAAGGGTTGTCTCTCTCCCCAGCCACTAGGGGAGCTTTCTTCCCAGAAGGGGCAGGGGTCAGCATTTCTCATCCTCCCCCAGCTACCTGCTATTGAGGCTAAATTCTTGGTGATTGCTGCTGAGAGGTGGGAGCTCCCTCCTTCTATCCACCCCCTATTCTGAGATGGAGGCTCTATCTTAGGTGCAGTGGCCAGTAAGAATACTGGGGCCTCAATGTCAACTCAAGAAGACCTGAGGCTACTTGCTCCCTCCCCACCAACTGAGCACTGAGATCTAAAGCAACAACGGACACTCAGAAAAAGGAAGCATTCCACTGTTTTCACCCTCAACTACAGAGCCCTGCATCAGAAATTTTTCCGGGAGAGAGAGAGAAGCAAGCCATAAAACAGCTCCTAGCCTCTCTTCAAAGCAACTGATTTCATTTACTACAACGTGGAAAAGTTGAAGCCTAAAGGTGCTCTTGAAAACAATGGAGGTTGTTATGAAAGTTAATTGGGAGGCAACTGACAGACTCACTGGACATGTCTAAAATGAAGGCCAGCTAGTCTGTCTAGGAAAAACAGGAAAATCTCATAGACAACAGGAAGAGACTGCTTGACTTCAGAACAAATCTCAAACAGTAACCTAGGGAACTGTCCCTTTTAAGAAGCCTGAATTTGATTGGTTTAGCCTGTAAAGGAATTTATTCTCCAGGAAAATGCTGGAAACAATAGAGTAATCAGTGAGCAATTAATAGAGTTTAACAGCTGGATGTGGTTAGGGAAAGAGGCCATCAAAGAGGACAGAATACTTCCTAAATCATTTTATGGAGCCAATATTATCCTGATACCAAAACCAGACACATCACAAAAAACTACAGACCAATATCCCTTATAAACATGGATGCTAAAATCCTCAACAAAATACTAGCAAACTTATTCCAACAACATATAAAAAGAATTATATACCATGACCTAGTGGGATTAGTCCCAGGAATGAAAGGTTGGTTTAAAATCCCAAAATCAATTAATGCAATATACTAATTGCTTTTGACAAATGACACAATCTTTTTTTTTTAGCATCTTTACTGGAGTATAATTGCTTTAGGTTGTTGTGTTAGTTGCTGCTGTATAACAAAGTGAATCAGCTATACATATACATATATCCCCATATCTCCTCTCTCTTGCGTCTCCCTCCCACCCTCCTCATCCCAGCCCTCTAGGTGGAAACAAAGCACCGAGCTGATCTCCCTGCACTATGCGGCTGCTTCCCACTAGCTATCTATTTTATATTTGGTAGTGTATACACGTCCACGCCACTCTCTCACTTCGTACCAGCTTACCCTTCCCCGTCCCTGTGTCCTCAAGTCCATTCTCTATGTCTGCCTCTTTATTCCTGTCCTGTCTCTAGGTTCTTCAGAACCATTTTTTTTTTTAGATTCCATATATATGTGACACAATCTTTTATGATAAAAATAAGCAACAAACTAGGAATAAAAGAGTAATTCCTCAACCTGATAAAGGGCAAAGATGAAAAATCCACAGTTACCATTATACTTAATGGTAAAAGACTGGATGCTTCCTCCCTAAAATCAGAAACAAGACAAGGATCTTTACTCTCATTACTTCTGTTCAACATAGTACTGGCAGTTCCAGGCAGCATAATTAGGTAAGAAAAGGAAATAACAGGCATCCAGATTGGAAAGGGAGAAGTAAAACTATCTCTATTTGCAGATGACATAATCTCTTACAGTATACAGAAAACCCTAAAAAATTCACCAAAAAACTATTAGAAGTAATATGAGGTAAGTTATTTTAACAAAATAACTACAAGACATGTACACTGAAAACTATAGAACATTGTTGAAAAAAGTTAAGGAAGATCTAAATAAATGGAGAGATCCACGTTCATGGATCAGAAGATTTAATATTGTTAAGAGGCGCTAGTCCCCAAACTGATCCACAGAATACTGCTGCTACAAACATTGTTGTACGTGGGTTTTTTTGGTATATACATGAATGCACTTCTAATGTACATACATTCCCGCACTTTTAATTACTACAGTTTTATATTATCTTTATTTCTAGCACAGAGAGTTTCTCAAAAATTTCTTGACTATTTTTGAATAGTTTCTCTTCTAGATGATTAAACAAAATCTTTCCAGAATTTGTGAAAAATCTCATTAGGATACGGATTATGATCATACAGAATTTATTTACAACTTTTATGCGTTTAGTACAATTTTATAGTTTTCTTAATACACGTCTTGCATATTTTTAGCCATCTTTATTTCTGGTTACTATATAGTTTTCTTTGTGAGTACCATTTTGTGTCATATGTATTAGCTGATCATTGCGATATGTAGAAATACTACTGACTTTTACATGTTGACTTTGCATATATGCAATTTGTAGGACTCTTTAATTAGCTCTAATAATTTTTCAGTTTATTCTCTTGAATATTCAAGGCATAGGGTTATAATATCCGCAAATACTGATATCCATCCAGCGTCATCCATTTGCGTCCAACATGTACACCTTTAATTGTTTTCTGTTTTGTTTTGTTTTACTGGACTGGCTAAGACCTCACATACAATGTTGGACAGTAATGGTAAGACCTGGTATCCTGTCTTGTTCCTGACATTTAGGAGAGAGTAGATATGTGAAATCTTAAACTTTATAATAAATATTAAAAAAATAATGTCATTTATGACTTCTAAAAATCTCTTCTTACAATTATGAAATTGTATTTTTGAACAGGTCCATCTATGGATTCATCTGTAAAAGTGTATTTGTGTTTATATTTTCCAAGAGACCATAAATACGTTAAACACCATGACTCTAACATCTTTTTACTTTAAAGGAACATCATGTGACTGAAATTAAACAGTAAGACATGAAAGTTTGACAGTTAATTTAATATAAAATGTTTTTTTATTTGCTTACAAATTCTCCTTGTTACATCAGGATATTATGTTAACCTTAAAACATGTGCAATGTTCTCATCTACATGTGCTCTTTGGTGTCTTAACAGGAGTGAAGTGGGGGGTTGGAGAAGAAATCAGTCTGTATTAAGAAAGAACATAATTCTTTTTCAGAGTAAAAGGCAAACCCAAAATGTGTTACTATACAGAGTTGCATGAGGACAATTTTTCATTAGAGTAAATACTACTTCACCTGCTGTGTTTTATAGTATCAAAAACCATAATATACATAGGAAATGTAAACCTGAAAAATTAATACAGCATTCCTGATGGAAATGTTAAGGATTAGCTAATCCTGCTGTTTTATGTTATATTTCTGCCACACAAAGTGTGTACTTCTGGATTTTCAAAATCACTAACATATTTTCATGGATAAATGTTTTCAGCAGTAAAATTTTAGCGTACATTCATTTTTTACTTTTCTAAGTTAGAAACTTGAGAAAGAATGAACTAAACTGAAGAGTTTCATAGGAAAACAACTGCCTTAGGGTCAACAAATGTACTTCAAAGAAATAAAATTAAATATGAAATAAATGGACTGGGTTAAATTAATTACAACTGGCTTTTCTTTCCATTGGTTTCTTGCTTTGCAATAAGAAATTACTGAAAATATTGGCAATTATTCTACATGATAATATGCATATTATTTACAGATACTACTCATTTAACTATGATTAAATTTATGTTTTGTAAATATTAACATTAACAAATATTTCCCTAAATAATTTAACATTATTTTTCACCACTGCCAACTTCTGGCTCTTATGTATTGAATCAACTGTATACAAAGGGAAAAGAAAGCATATTAACATTTAAAATTACCTGGACCAGAAGTGTTATTGGGCCACTTTTATCCACTTCTAGTATTTCACCATTCTTTGTACCAACTAAAAGATGACCATGTCCTAATGATATGGCACGTATAGATGGGTTATCTTCCAAGAGAAGACCTAAAATGTTAAACGGAGATGTTCTTCTAGGTATGAAGTTACTATAATACAAGGGTGTATATATTGCCAATGATGCTATTTTGACAATGCAAATCATGTTACACGGTTGCTTTCTCCTATATTTTAAGTATTCTAATAAATGTACCACATTTTCCCCAATCATTCAATTTACTAATCTCAAAAGTAAGTACCATTTATATGCTACAATTCCATGATTCTATATTATTCCAGATCCCCTACTACCAGTCTGACAGCCGTTTATTTTCCTTTTACATTTGCTCCTCATCCACCTCCTGACCCTCTTAGAGCATGTACAATATTCTGGTTAGTAATTTTAATTCAATTTGATTTAAGATTAATTCATTTATGTTTACTGTACCCTAGGCAGACTTCAGAGATATACTGGTAAACGTGATAGAGCCAAGCTTCTCCCCTCACAGAGCACACAAAGAGGAAAACAGACCTTGTGTGAGGAGCATATTGAAAATGGAACAAAAGGGAATTCAACCTTTTGTGAGGGGGAGAGGGGATGGGAGTGTAAGGAATCATTCTAGAAGAAACAGTGTTTGAGATCTGAAAAATGAGCATATGGTCAAGAAACTGGAGGAAGCAGGAGGGAGGAGAAAGGAAAAATTCTAGGCAAAAGTGACAGCATACAGGAAGGCCTGGAGGCCAGAGACAGAGTGCTGTAGTGCCTTAACGCACCATGAGAAAGGGTAAAGGAAGAAGGGCCTGCAAGGCTAGAGAGGGAGAGTCAACAAAACACTAAGATGAAACAAAAGGCCAAGTTTGAAAACAATACCCTGACTGGTGGAAAATGTGACACTCACATGGCGATTTTCTTTGAAAAATTAACATTGATAATCTTGTATTTGTTTATATATTACTATGCGTATCACTGAAAATAGATTTTGAAAGGACAGCAATGATTCTGGCATCCAGTTAAGTCGCTTCTCTTACTGAACTCTGATGCCTGTCTAGTAAAGAAGGAAAAATATACCCTACGTGCTCCACCTCAGTGCCCACCATGTTAATAAGCAATTAATCTTTTTTCCTACAAATCTCAAAATCTCAAATCACCTTTAGATCCTGGGGCCAAAGCAGCTCTTTTTATAGCATAGGTCTTGAGACATCTTTCAAAGGAGTCATCCCAAAGAGCTACTACCCCATCTTTCCCTCCAGTTACGAATCCCTACAAAAGTAAAAGTTTTAAGTTAATGAAGATCTAAATATTTAAAAAATAATAACCTTCTTTTATATTGAAAAACTCTGGAGGAAAGAATATTTATAGCCAAAAGTTACAGCTTGTAAAAAAACAGAAATTAGCATAGAATCCATTATGTTTTTTTAAACATCAACATGGAATTTGCAAAAATATTTACTATGACACAAAACATTCTACTTTTAGAATAGGACTTTAAAAACACAGTTTGCAATTTAGAACCATAAAGTAGCTCTACCACTTTCAGCACCTTCTCCTGGAGGCTTCATAATCCCATCCTTTAAAAAGAGGGGATAATAATAATAGCTACGGGACTTCCCTGGTGGCTCAGTGGTTAAGAATCTGCCTGCCAATGCAGGCGACACGGGTTTGAGCCCTGGTCTGGGAAGATCCCACATGCTGCGGAGCAACTAAGCTCATGTGCCACAACTACTGAGCCTGTGCTCCAGAGCCCGTGAGCCACAACTACTGAGCCTGCATGCTGCAACTACTGAAGCCCACGTGCCTAGAGCCTGTGCTCTGCAACAAGAGAAGCCACCGCAATAAGAAGCCTGCGCACTGCAACGAAGAGTAGCCCCCGCTCGCCACAACTAGAGAAAGCCCACACGCAGCAACGAAGACCCAACACAGCAAAAAATAAACAAATAAAACAAATAAATTTATTAAAAAATAATGACAGCTACCTCACAGGATATGGTGATAACATATAAAGTACCTAAACAATTTTTGACTCAGAATAAAAGATTAATAAATACTAAGTTAAACTTTTTTTTAATAACAGCAGACCTATTTCACTCTGGGTTCAGGAGTTTGAAAAGAGGAATAAAATACAGTCAGGAAGACTCTAGCTCACATATTATTATTGGGTAGCTCAGCTAAGTAGAAAGGTAGTGTCCCTGTACTTGTGAAAATGTTCTGCACTCCATGATCAAACTATGTTTAACTTAAAATTTATTTAGGTTACTTACTTTTTCCAATGCATGCATACTGAACACTGGTCCATCATGTGCTTTAACTGTCTTTACAAGAAAGATGTCTCTCCAGATACACACGTCTCCTGTGGATGTTCCAGAAAAAGCCATCTCTTCAGTCCATCCATATACTGCACACATCATTGTGTCATTTTTCCCTGGTGTGCCTACGTAGCCTTTTCTTCCAATCAATCCTCCCCCTGGTTCATAAAAAAAATTATGAAAGTACCACTCTCAAAACGTATAAAATTCAAAGCAATAAAATTTCTTTTCGGCTGTTTTTCTTGTTTAAAGAGAAAGACATGTAACAGTAAGGAGAGTTAAAAAGAAAAATAAAGGTCTCTCAATCAGTGACTTGGGCAACACCTTGCTTGGCTGCGGCAGGCATACCCATGGCTGCTTTCAGGTCATAGCTTTTTGGATAAACAAAAATATGTATTAAGTCAGTTTAAATCAGTCTTTTGATTAATTTTTTAAACATTATATTATGACATATTTAATACAAAAAGTAAAAAAAATACAATAAGCTCTTCTATATCCATTATCAATTTACATAAAATTACTAAACAATCAAAATGTATGCCAATCCCATCTCCCTTCTTCACCCACTACTATTCTGAATGTGATCTTGATTATTCTCACACATTCCCTTATACATATTTTACTACTCATTTTTGAATTCTTAGGTAACACGTCATTATTTTTCATGTTTAAAATTGTCTATAAATACATATCCTGTATGTATTCTTTTGCAACCTGCTTTTTTCACCAACAATTTGTCGTGGAGTTTTATACATGTTGATTTGTACCCCTAGAAAACTCATTTTCCTGACTATATAGCATTCCATTATATAAATACAACATTTTCCTATTAATGGGGACTTAATAAAATTGCTTCCAAGATTTTGCTATTGAAAACAATGCTCCTTTAAACACTGCTGCAAGGGCCTCTTCTATAAAAGTGCAAGAGATTCTCTAGGAATGCCTAGGAATGGTCATAGCTTATTTGCAAAAGGAACAGCATGTAGATGAGAGGTATCATCTCTATGACCAAATCGTCCTCCAAAGTCGATACACCAACATATACTCCCATTAATAGTGAAAGGAGTTCCTGTTGTTTCCTACCTTTCAGAACACTTGGTATTATCAGACTGGGGATGTGAAATATCAACTGAATTTTATTGTGGTTTTAATTTGCATTTCTCCAATTATTCATAAGCTTTATCATCTTTTCCTATTTTTATTGGTCATTCATTATCTCTTGATATCTTTTGCCCATTTTTCCAAATGAACTCATTCACTCATTCATTTATTCAAGAAATATATATAGATACCAGACACTATTTAAGGCAATGGGGGCAGAGCTATGAACAAAACAGACAAGACAACAAAATTCCCTGCTTTCATGGAGCTTCCTGGTGAGAGACAGTCAATAAATATGACAAATAAGTAAAATGTGCGGGATGTTAGATGATGACGGGTGCTATAGAGAAAATGTAAGCATAAAAGGGAGATAAGAAATGAGAGGGGTCCATTTTAAGAAGGGTGGTTAAGAAAGGCCTCCTTGAGAAGGTGGTATCTTCATGAAGACCTGAAGGAGGTAGCAAGAGCAAGCCATGCAAAAAGAGCATTCAAGACAGAGGAATCAGCAAACGCAAAGGCCCCAAAGCAGGAACGTGACAAGAATCTTCAAGGAACAACTAGGGAGGCCAGTATGGAGTAGCAAAGAAAGTAAGGGAGGCAGTAATGGGAGATGGGGTCAGAGAGGTCAAAGGCAGCATTACAGACCATTGTAAGGATTTAACTTTTACTCTTTATGAGATGAAAAACATTTGGGTGGTGGAATGACAAGACTTGGCATATTATTTATTACCGGGTTCATTCTGATTTCTGGGTTGAGGGTAATTTGAATAGTGGCAAGGACGAAAAGAGTTAGAAGGCTATTTCAAGCATCTGGGCAAATGCTAAGGGTGGCATGGGTCTGGTGATAACATAGAAGATGATGAAAAGTAGTCATATTCCAAATGTATTCAGAAGATTGTCTTTTCTTAACATAGCAGCCAGAGTTGTTAGTGCACTTGGAAGGGCAGTTAAGTCAAGTGGTGAAGGGGAAAAAACAGGTTAGACTTCTCTCAAAAGAAGGAGAAGATAACTCACAAATTTAAAGTGTAAACAACTGTGTGGATGTGTTTTAGTACATAGGTAGGAAGAGAAATTGATTAGCAAATGGAAGGTAGAGCTCAAAGAGTAGTTTTGTTTGGTTTTACTTACTTAAGATGGAGAAATAACACCACATTTATATACTGAAAGGAAAGAGTTGGTAGAGAGGGAAAACTGACAATGCAAGAGAGAAAGGGAAGAAGAGTTGGAATGATGCCCTTGAATAGCTGAGAAATGGGATCTAGTGCACAAGTGGAGGGGACTGGGTTTCACTAGAGCATAGATTATCCATCCAGAGCAGGGTCAGCAAACTATGGGCTGTAGGCCAAATCCTGCCATCACCTGTTTTTGTTCAGTGCCCACTGGAGCACAGCTGCAGTGGCTACGTCGGTTTTCTTCTCTGCTCCCAGAGCCTGCCTCCCTGACTTTTGGCTGCCAACTAGCAGCTGCCTAGGGCCCGAGCTGGTCACCATCCACAAGTTGAGGACTTTGCTATGGAAACTTCTGGGCACCCAGCAGTGAAATCACAGTCCAGGAGTTGCCTTGCCTCTGGCCATCTGCCGAAGTTGAGAAGGTAGGGTTCTCCAGGAGGAGAAGACACACTAGAATCAGTGTGTCGCTAGGGCAGAGTGAAGCTGACTATGGTCTCCCCCGAGTCCAACCTGCAAGTCCTGTTCACTGCAGCAGGCTGATCTTGGAGGGAATGTCTCCAGTTAACGGCAACTGGGTGCAAACTGGGTACGGCAAGGCAGGAGTTCTCTCTCTTGTTCTCTAAGTATCTATATAATATTCTTGATTTTGTTTCTGTGTCTGGAAAGTCTAAAATATTTACTATTTGGCCATTTACAGAGTTTTTCACCTCTGGTTTAGATAATCATTATTGAGTTTTCTGATACACACAGCATAACATGTTTGTATTGTACAAGGTCATACCAGCCATGGAATAGAGTTCAAATTCCTTAGAGATTAATAATTCATAACTTGCAATTCTCAAAGGCTATATCTGGGATAGGAGGTAAGAAGCTCCCTTTTAGCCTTAGTCCTAAGTCATCTTTAACTTAGTTTACATAAAGCTATGCATTTAGAGGGCAGACAGATGGCATTTATTCAGATTAATAAAGTGGTTACTTATTTCCCAGTTGACTACTGAACTCTGGATCAGAACCTCAAAGTGAGGAATGCTGAAATGCACTAAAGTCTTAACATTTATCCTTTTATGGTTCAGTTTCAGGTCTACTTTATGTCAAATCAAAGTTAAAGAAAAAAGTTATTCAATTGCAAATCTTTTCACTTTAAGGCTATTTACTTTCTTTAAGTCTCTTATTTCAGACAAACTTATAGTTGTTTTTTTTTCCAAAACCTCAATAATAGCATTACTTGCTGGGTATTTGCAAGTCCAAGTGACTAAGATACTCAAAAGTTTCGTTTAAATGAATGGGAATGAAAATTACAAATGTGAAGATACTTCTTTTTACTTTGTAAATGTATATACACTATGATCTGATGAGTCTGTGATAAAGTATTAAAACAAGTCTGAAAATCGACTCATGTCCTATGTAGTTTACAATTTGAAAGTTAATTCAACTTGGGAAATATCTTCACTAAGCCTATTCTTTTCTAACCTATGTCTCACTTCTCTCTATAGCTATGTATTTTATCTGAAAGGTTTAAGTGTACTAAGACTTTGTCAAATTGCTGGAATTTATAAGTATGCTATTCGATTTGGAAAAGAGACTTTTTAATTTTAAAATATGAACTTCTACAGTCACTAATTTACTAAATGACTAAAGTAATATAACATTCCATTTCTATATCATTTTATAGCACATAAAGAATTTTGACACAATTTCTCATTTTTAGTTTAGACTAAAACACATGTCTTCAACAGAAGAACGAAGTCTGGACATCACTTGATTAATCTCATAAGTTAAATTCTTTTGCAAATATGAATGCTATATCAATGCAGCCAATAATGATAAAATAGATCTTAACTTTGTTTAAAATGTATCAAGACAACTGTGAATCATTCTTTTAAAAAAATAAACTTTTCACTTTTGAGAATTTTAGATTTTCATAAAAGATGCAAAGATAACACAGAGTGTTCTCATATACTGCTCGCCCACCCAGTTTCCCATAACATTAACATCCTACAATACTACAGACTACTTGTCAAAACTAAAAAATAGACATATTTGATATATTACTATTAACTGAACTCCAAACTTCATTCAGATTTCATCTATTTTTCAACTAATGAAACTTCTGTTCCAGGATCCAATTTAGGATACCACATTGTACTTAACACCAAATCGCTTTTAAAAGTAATAGTTTCTACCAAATGTAAAATAGATAGCTAGTGGGAAGCAGCCGCGTAGCACAGGGAGATCAGCTTGGTGCTTTGTGACCACCTAGAGGGGTGGGATAGGGAGGGTGGGAGGAAGACGCAAGAGGGAGGAGATATGGGGATATATGCGTATGTATAGCTGATTCACTTTGTTATATAGCAGAAATTAACACACCATTGTAAAGCAATTATACTTCAATAAAGATGTCAAAAAAAAAAAGTAATAGTTTCTTAAATTTCAAAGGAGCAAAAAGAAGCACTTCCTTACCTGCTCTACGCCAAAATTTCATGTGTTTAATTCCAGCTGTAATTAATTTATCAGGCACGTAGGGGTTCATCTTTACAACAAAAATCTTATCTTTACTTCCTCTGAAATAAATACCAAAATGTTTTAACTCTGAAGATAAATCTCTCCTGTAATAACCTTTTGCCTAATCCAAACCCTATCTTGATTACTCCATTACTAAATGCTTGGCCCACTTGTCTCTTAGGTTTAGGCTACGTAATCATGCATTTGTACATTTGTTATTTTGTTATTATTTTAATTTATTAACTCCTCTCAACAGAATCTTAAAAGATAGGAACCGTGAGAACTGAACTTCTTTTGGATAGCACCAACTATAGTACTGTACATAGAGAATGCCATTTGTGGCATGAATGAGTTAAAGAAAAAAAATTTTTTATGGTACTCTGTTACAGCTTAATATAGTCTTTCCAAATACAAAATCCTCTTAAACTATCTTTTATTTGGGTCCTGTCTATATACTCTGCAGAAACCATTTATCTATATTTTAAAGTGCTTTTATGTGTCACTTTAGGGAATAGGAAGTTAAAAAAATAGTCTCTGAAACTGTTGACTATTTCCTCCTTTAAAGCAATTGCTAATATTTTTTAGTATTATAGAAATAATAATGCTCACTGTAGAAAATTTAGAAAATGAAAACTATAACAGAGAAAATAAAAATAATCTATAATTTCTTTGTGATACACGTGTGTATGTATCTCCTTTCACTCAAATATATAAAATGAGTATTTTATCATGTTTTCAATGACTACAGAATAGCTTATCTTACAGTGGAATTCACTCTACCTATAAATGGAGATTTTTGATAATCACTACTTCGAATATCATATTACAGTTACATTAAAAAGTGTGTGCACAAGGGATAAACCTACAATGAATCATGAAATCATTTGTCTTTTTACCACAATTATACTATTTATTCAATGGTAATAAAGACGGCAACAATTTAAAAAGTTACGTTTGCTTGATTTCAAAACCGTTATAAGTAAAAAAAATTTTAAGTCCAAGGTAATTTCAGTATTTTGCCAATGTGATATCAAGTTTTTTCCCTACCTTGCTATCGAAAGTTTCTCTCCTTTTTTCCAGTCCCATAGCACAATAGTGTGGCTATCATCTATTCCAACTGAAGCCAAACGTTTCCCATCCGCTATGAAAATTAATCACAGAGATAGACTGATCATTAACATTCAGAAGATAAAAAACACTCAGTACATATTCTGATACCACAGCACTATATTTAAATTTTTATAAAATAAAATATTGTTAAATGTTAGGCATGCATACAGCTATGAAACAAAAAGCAGAATTTATAAGGAAGGGGAAGAATAGTGTCTCAATGCGTCTAAACCTGACTGAAGTCTGCTGACTTCTTCCTCTGACTTCACTTACCTCATCTTCTACCAGCTTAAGACAGGGGAAAGGAGGAAGATAAGAAAAGTAGAAAAAAGATATTTAAAAGATGAGAAGGAAAGGGAAAACTAAGAAAGAAGGAAGGAAGAAGTGATATACGCCAATGAATTTCACCATAGGAACTCTACTGTGATATAAGAAGTCATAGGGATTACAAAAAGCGAATCAAATGCAAAAGACACAGGTTACAAATACATATTGCTGTTTAATATGACTGTTTGTAGTGAAGGTCAATTATTTTAGTTGCTACTACCATCAAGCAACAAGTAATGACTATTAGACAAGAGATTGCGCTAAGTCAGTCATGCTGGCAGGTGTGCATATGTTTATAGGTTGTAAAGGCAATCTATAATAAAACATTTGCCACTCTGCCACACTTTTTGCAAACCTCAACTAGTATGTTATCGCTACCAGTGGTATTTTTCTTGCTGACTCCTTTACCATTCAGTTTCTTCACCTTTGGCAGATTTTAATATGTGTATATACAATTCCCCCCACAAACTATAGCAATTCACTATCACTTCAGTCAGAGCAGCAGGAAGCACAAATTTACTGTTTCTTAATATAAAATTCTCTATTAATGGTATTTCCCCACTCTTCCCAATCCATACCCCAGCTTTCACTGTAGATCTATCTGTAGTTGTTAAACTTTTATATATGTAGCAAAGAGTTAACATGATCTGAAATTATTTTGATAAGACAGATTGGAATTGTCACTTCATAGAAATGTTATACAACAAATATTTCAGTTCTCACCTCTTTCTTAGCTTTCACCCTAAACATTTTCAAAGTTTACTCTGTGGCTGCAAAACATTAAATGAGATCAGGGTTTGCCCAAGGTTGGAAATACATACCACTAGTGGTAACTGAGACGGTTTCAGAGGTTATGTAGACAAACATTTTTTATTTTAATAGAAACATCTTTATAACAATGGGTATTAAAATTACATTTCATTAAATTATTATTATAAAACAGCTAGCAAACCCACACTTTCAGAGCCTTGATTGGTTAGGACAACAGTATGCACATTTGATAAAAAATTGTGAATGTCACTATTAAATGACAAGTTTAGGCAACACTAATTTAGACTAAAATGCCATGTATTGCCTCTGCATTTTGATCATTCTTACTGAGACAGAAAACTGCCTTACCTGAGAAATCAACAGCACAGACACCATATTGGTGGTAGCCCTTTAATATCGACAATGGTTTAATGGTCTCTGTGTCCCATATGTGAACTGAGGGATCCCTACCTACCTAAAATAGAAAGAATTATAAAAGTCATTTTATGCAATTAAATTGTTTATTTTCATATCTATAAAAGGAAAACAGGAGATTTAACAACCTTTGTCATATTTGCTATAAATATTTATCAAATAAAAAGTATAAAGCAGACTGTATACGTGATCAACATTTTTCCCTTACATTTGTCGAAAAGCTAATGAGACTAGGCTCAGTGTTTCAAGGAATGTTCTACAACTACGTAGCTCCTAAACCTTATCCTATACTTCATCAATAAAGATAATGCTTACCAAGCATCTATTATTGGCAGCATTACTATGCTAGGTACAATGAGCACTAAGACAATTAGACAAATTTTGCAAACTCATTGGGAAAATGAGATATTTTCCGTTAAAATATGAACATCTGGTAATACATGCTTAATGGGGATGAAAAGGTTGTAGAGAAAATCTTCATGGAAGAGATGCTACTTGACGTGGGCCTTCAAAGAGTGTAGGTCTTAGATAAAAAGAGAAGCAAGCAAGTATATTCTAGGCTAGGATAATAGTGTAAACAAGATACAGAGGGGTTAAAGCGCCAAGCAGGTTAACACAACTTAATTCTTTATTCCTTTAGACTCAAGTAATCACTTTCTTTATACAGATTAAGAGATATAATAACTTTGCTTATGAAAGCAACTCCTGAAATAACTAACATAGCTGCCAATTACTGTTAATTTTTAGATTGGTTTTATATAAAGACATAACAAAAAACAATACTGCAATCGATCAATATTTCACTAAGTTATTAACTGCTTTCCTCTGTCCTGTCATTTGTCTACAGATCTACTGTTTTCTATATAAGCTGGAGTTCTAAACCATTTTGAGTTACTTTTGGTTTAGGTTTCTCCCAGGTGATATGAATTGCACCTGTTAATAAACTTTTTGTTTTTCTCTTGTTAATCTGTTTTTTTTCTTTGGCTGTGCCTCATGGGTTGTGGGATCTTAGTTCCCCGACCAGGGATCAAACCTGGGTCCCCTGCAGTGGAAGTGCAGTGTCCCAACCACTGGACCACCAGCGAATTCCCCTAATCTGTCTTTCTGTTAGAGTTCTGGCTAAAAGTCTAGCAGAGGAAGAGGTCATTGGGTATCCAGGGATGTCCTGTGGGCATACTGACTTATAGTTTAATTTGGCCCAAACTCCCTAAAATTCCAGAATTATGGTAGTAAATGACCAGTTTTTACAGTCTTCATTCCAGTAGTAGCAGAATAATGTCCAAACTCCTTGCAACAGCACAATGGGTACATAATCGTGTTTTAAGAGGAACCATTTATATAAACTAAAGGTGAAAGTAAATGGTGCCCCTGAGGCCTCTGCCAGCCCATTTAATTAGTTCTTCCGCTAATGTCCATCATGCACTCTAAGATTTGAATACTTTGCGTTGCTCACAGTTATTTAAAGAAGTTGTATTTTTATTTTTTTATTTTTTCCCCCACTGTTACACGTGATATGACACACTTAAAATACATTCCCCAACCTCCCCTCTATCAGGTAAACTACTCAGCTCAAATGTAATCTTCTCTATGAGGGTTTCCCTGATTCCACTAGGCACAATATATGTCCTTTATAATATTTCAAGAGAGCTTTATACATATCTCTAGCCTAGTGGTTCTCAGCAGGGGGTGACTTGCCTCCCAAAGGCTGTCTGGAGACATTTTTGGTTGTCACAGCTGGGGTGGGTGGTGTTAACTGGCCTCTAGTCCGTAGAGGCCAGAGATGCTGCTAAACATCCTACAATGCACAGGATGGCATTATACACAAAAATGCAATTATCTTTACAATAAAGAATTATCTGGCCCAAAATGTCAACAGTGCCAAGGTAAGAAGCCCTGATCTACACTTATGACACTGTATCACAATTTTCTTGCGTGTTTGTCTTCCCCCACAGAGTATGAATGTTTTACCATGGCAAGGTGTTTTATTTATATTCCCAGAGTCTTTCCTGGTACACAGCACATGCTCTATGAATATTTCTGAATGAATAGAAGAAAGGAGGGAGAAAAGGAGGGAAGGAAAGGAAGGAGAAAAGGAAAGAGTCAGGGGAGATACAAACAGAGTGAGGGAAGATGGGAGAAAGAAAAAGGGAAGAGCTTTCTCTCCTTTCAGGGAAGCTACATAGGATGATGCAAGTTTCCTACCCCCACCCTCAATATATCCCAGAAGGTATACTTACACAGTATTTAAAGCCAAACAGACTAAGGGCTTTAGGCTTTACCACTTATTAGCTGACAGATCTTTGAGAAAATTATCTAATTTCTTTAAACCTAAACTTCTTCATTTATAAACTGGGGGAAATGGTTTTACTCTCATAGAGATGAGGTGAGAATAAAATAAATATACATTAAGAAACTAGTAAAGTGCTTACACACAGTGAGAATTTATAAATATCACCCTTTCCCTTCCTTCTCTAAGAATATCCATATAGAGAGGTAACAGTTATGACTTTTCTCCATGTTTTCTACTTTGGTAAACCCGAATATGTTACTATCATGATTGTAAAATAAAAACATAGTCATCCTGTTTGTCACAGAACAATTCTTAGATAACTTATATTATTTAAAATAATTAAAAAACCAGATTTCTAGTCTTTACGGTTTTTGTAATTTTTACTCATAAATTTAAAAAATTAATATTATCCTGACAGAAAGGTGTCAAGCCAGAGCTCATAGTTCCAAATTCAAATTACAATAAGTAAAACAATAAAACTCTAAGGAAAACTATAAGAAAAAAGTTTTATTTGTAATATGAAAATAAAATCCCATTCTAAAGAATTCTTCATTTCCTAGAATACAAAAGATAAGGAAAAAAATGGACTAACTTAACTTTAAACCCAAACGAAGGTCTAACCTATCTGGGCTGTTGTCGCATAGTCTTTCAAAGGACCTACCTGGCCTGTTGCCACATAGTCTTTCACAGGATGAATAGCCAGGCAGAGAATATCATCATCGTGACCCAGGTAAAAGCGCTGTGTGTTCTGTTGTCGATTATAAATGACACCCACTGCTGCCACATGGTACACAATTTCACCAATTTGAGTATAGAACAGATTACTTCGACAGTCATACCCTCTGTAACTAAATATAGAAAAATCATATAACATTAACTTTGGCCTTTTACTGATAAATATGGACTATACAGAGGACATTCAATTTCCAGCTTTACAAGATACTGAACAATTTTAAAAAATACAAATATCTCAGATCCCATAAACTTTTGTGAACTGCTCTGATTACAAATAGCTAAATCCAAGCATAATACTAAATTTGTATACTATAAAGCAAAAAGTTGCTTTTTTACAAGTGAAAGGGTATAGAAAAGAATATATATTTGTATTTGTTTGTACTATATTATACATAAATATTTCTGAAACTAGGTAACAGTGATTCCCTTTGGGTGGGGGGGAAATGATGGCTGGGAGGGCAGAGGTAGGAAGATGATTTTCAGAGTGTATCCTTTTATACACACTGTTCAACCATGAGAATAAAATATATCAATATATATTACAAAAATAAGTTTTAACAACAATTTAAAAATATTATACACATCCAGAAAACAAGCAGTCAAATCCCCTCAAAAATGATCAATACAGATAAAATAGATAACTAATAAGGACCTACTGAATAGCAGCACAGGGAACACTACTTAATACTCTGTAATGGCCTATATGGGAAAAGACTCTAAAAAAGAGTGGATATATGTATATGTACAACTGAGTCACTCTGCTATACACCTGAAACTAAAACAACATTGTAAATCAACTATACTCCAATTAAAACAGACACACACACACACACACAAAATGCTTCCAAACAAACAAACAAAAAGAAGTACTGTCTATTTTAACACTGGAAGAAAAATATTTTTACTAAATAAATCTGTTTTTTTTTCAAATTCTTGAAAACATTATAAGCCAGGTAAGACAATGATTACTAGGTGAGGGGAAGGAAAGAGTTGGACTGGAGACTCTGTTTGTCCTGGGATAAAATGTGAGATCTGTATTGCCAGATATTCTAAGAGAATCCAGAAACTGTATTTTATTGAAATTATAATATATAGGCCAAAATGCTTAGGCCAAAACAAGCCACAATATCATTACAAATTAGACATATTTAGGGGAGATGATAATCTCTCACATTTCACTTATTTTGTTTAAAGAGATCCATTTCTATAAATATAACACTAAATTTTCATAAGACAAATTAATTTTTTATTTAATAAATACTTATAAAGTGCCAGAAAACATTCTAAGTCACCACAAGTATTGACTTATTTACTCCTCATCAGAATCCTATCAAGAAAAATACTGTTATCTCCATTTTACAGATGGTAAAACAGAAACACAGAGAGGTTAAGTGTCTTGCTCAAAGTCACATAGCTAGTAAATGTGAACCAAAATTCAAACACATAAATGAAAAGTAGTCGTTTTGTACCCGTGAACAAAGTGTAATCGAATACTATTTCCTGGAGCCCGCTCTCTTCTTTTAGAAGTACCACTTTTTTGTTTCTCTTTGTATTGTTCTTTAAGCTGAGGTAGATCTTCCGTGTAAACCTTTAAATAATGTACATAAGTAGAAATATTCTTAGAACACAAATTTATAGAGGTGTTATATATTCCTAATGTAACTTCAGACATTGTGGTTACTATGATCACTAAAGTTTTAACAACTGTCTTCAGTAGGAAGATTCTTTATGAAATTTACTTCCTTGGAAAGACAAACGTATTTACATTTTCTAAGTATCACACTGACAAATACACATTTAGTTTCCATGAAATTTTTATACTTCGTAAGAGCGTATTTTAAAGGAAATAAATGGAAGTGTACTGCGACAAAAAGCACATATAATATATAATACAATACAATACGGGCACAGTTAGTATATCAAGCACTTAATATAAATAACATTTTACACAAGTATACTTTAACTCTTAAAGGGGGAAACAGCCATACATTTCTTGGAAAATTAAAAACTGCAAAAGATAACAATAGATAAGTAAACAACAGGGAGCAAGATAAAGAAGAAACTAGAATTTTTCAGGAAAAAATCACGTGGTAATAAAAATTACCTGCCGACGGTAGGTGAGCTGTGTCTCTTGTTCAATTTCAGAGTCCAGTTCTGGAACATCAGACAGATCTGAATCTGATTCATCACTATTAGAGTCAGCCAGATTTTCTGTAATTTAAAAAAATGAAACATTACCTGTTTAAAGAAGATTCATTTTCAAAACAGCACAATAAAATTAATGATTAAGAGCTGACTGTGCCAACTGACATGGAGACAAGCCATAAAACAAGCAAATGAAATTACCTATTCAAGTGACACAGATGTCAGTAAACTGTACTACAGATTATCTTCCTCTCCACTCACTGCAAACTCAATAGTTCCTTTAAATCCCTTCACTGGCTCCCCAATGACCGCTACATCAAATTTAAATGTCTGTGCAAATATAAGTGAATATAACCTATAATTAACATGAAAAATAGCTAGAAAATACCATAATGCAACAGATGAACTGACATTAGATAATTTTTCTTTGTCAAAAAAACCATACTGAAACCTAGATACCCATCTCCCAGAGAATATATTAAATGTTTGTTTTACTAATGCATGTTTTTTACTCATCATTTGATAGATGAAAGTGTAACCAAAAGTACTTTGTAGTCCATGCTCTGTGACAACTGAGTTTAAACATATAGACCTAATATTTTATTTAAAATTTCCACTAATAATAATAATCTATACTGTTAACATACGAGGCTTGTGTATGTTTCAAGAGTAAAATTGTTATTTGGGGGTTACTGAAGAGTTATTTGACAGAGAAATTGTTTAGGCAGTGTGTTCTACTCACCTTGGGGTGCTATGTGAAGAGCATCTTTTAGTTTTCTTTCAGGAATAAATTTCCACTGAAAGACAGAGTGATCTGCTCCACCAATAGAAATAACCCACTGATAATCATGTGACCATCTGACATTAGTTACATGAGCTGAATGGCCAATGTATTTTTTAAACTTGGCCCCTATAACAAAAATATACCTTTAAATTGATAAACAAATGCCAATACACACACACACAAAAACACTATAAACAACAATTTCTATACCTGAACCAATGCATCCTATTTCTATTACCTTAATTATGATGAATGGGGAAAAATGTTAATTCAAAAATTCACTGAGTGAACAAATGAATGAGTGTACATCAAGGGACATAAATCTTTGCTCTACTGATTCACAATATAATTTGGTAAGAACCACAAGAGCTGTGAAGCATTATCTTACTGCTTTGAGAAAAGCCTGCAGCTACAAGGGGATCAATTGTTTTTATATTCAGATATTTGAATGTTTTGGCCTGACACCTTTGATCTTAAGTGATATTGACCAATCTCCTCCCCCACTATTCTCAGCCTTAGCTGTGAAGATCCTTTTAAAGCTTAAGCCATCAAGAAAATATTAGCAACGTATAAAAAGGACTACACACCATAACCAAATGGGATTTATGCCAGGAATGCAAGGTTGGTTCAATATACAAAAATCAATCAATGTAATATACCATACTAACCAAAATAAAATACATCCAGTTGTCCCAACAACTATCTTTTATAGTCATTTTTTTAAACCTAAATATTTGGTATAATGTCCTTCAATGTGGGTTTGTCTGATGTTTCTTCATGATTAGATTAAGATGTGTTTTTTGCACAGGCAATGTTGTGTCCTTTTGGATACATCATTTTAAGGGGCACCACAGTTCTATCACTAGTGATGTTAAGTAGCAGCATTTGGTTAAGGTTTTATATACCAGACTTCTCCAACTGTAAAGGATTTGTTTAACTTTCTGGCTAATTTTTAAAAAATCTGTGCAATGATAGGAACCATTTTTGTGGTTCTAAGTTCAGAATACATTTTCTATATCTTGCTTAGATAAACTCGATATTTGGCAATATGTATATGTTCCTGGTAGAGTACACTAAACACAATAATGTTTGGTTTCATTTTGATAATGTTTTAGAAGTTTTATTTGAAGCTACAGAAGGCTTGTATTTCAGGATGGCAAAGATCCATCAATTACAAACTGGAGAAAAACCTTCACCTTGGCCATGAATTTAGGGATAGCCATCTAATCAAAGCATAAAAGATGTGACCCAAACTATATAGATTACAATTTACTGCTACCTGACAGTAATGTTATTTTTTTAAGAATCAATTTTTTATGTAGCTTAACAGAAGTCAGTAACTTTCTAGATGGGTAACTTGCCACAATTCACTCCACAAGTCGAATAAGGTAAGATTTAATCCCATCCCTCTTATAAGAGAATGCATTATTTGCCTGTCAAGAGGACTCTGGCTATTACTTCCTTTGATGGGGCCCTGTACATACTCTTAGGCAACAGAGAGACTTACAAGGTAAAACCAGAAATTTCAGCAAATAAAATTCCAAGTTTTTAAGGTGTACTAATTTTGTTATGTTTAGAGCAAATGAAGAAGAGTTATCTGAGCACCTATTCTAATTGACTATATTGGGTGATAGTTCCAAGAGAGGTGTAGATAATCCTGTAAGGCCTTCCAAATGATTTTCTCTGTGACTTTTCAAAGATCAATTCCTCTGGAAGAACCAAGGCAATTCAACAAGAAAGCTATGGAATAAGTCTAAGGGAAGCCAGTTATTTCTAATCAAAGTGACTTTATTAATAATTATTCAATAGCCAGCACTGCTTATCTAACTATGATAAACAGTTTATCTTAAAAGTAAACCTAGATATCACATCTTTTAAGAAGTGACCATGACTCACCAAGACCAATCATATCCTCTTATCATGCTTCCAGAATTCCCTGTTATTACCCCATGTATTTATAACACTCAAATGTAATAGTCTATTTACTTGTTAACTCCTCTAATAAACTATAAGCTCCTTGAGGGCAGGATTGTATCTTGTTTATCATACATCCCTAATGCCTGATACATAGCAAACATTCATTAGGTATCTAAAGAAAGGGAAAGAAAGGGAAAAAAAAAAGAAAGATCATATTTTCCCTTACTCTGCCTATACACTTGAGTTGAAATGCTAGATTGTAGAGGAGGGAAGAAGAGTAGTGAAGGGAGACTGAGAGGGCATGAACTCCAACACTTACAATTCATTAAAGGGGACAAAAAGTCTGATGTAAAGAGTATTGGAGTTGAAATCAAAAGACTAGGTTTGAGTGTCATCTTGACTACTTAATAGCACAGGAGCTTGAGCACATCAGTTAACCTCTCTTAGATTCCATTTCCATTTTAGTATAAATTGGATTATAAGCTCTCAAAGTCCCTTCATTATTAAAAACTGACATATGATAGGAAATGATAAAAGAACATTTAAGGTCTAAACAGTATGTCATCAATTAGGACTAACATCTCAGAGAAAAGATTTATCAAAGCAAGCTAGAATGGTCATAGAAGCATTCCTAATTTAAATGAGAACAGAATGATAATTCTTGGTGAGGATAAAGCAATAGACTGAAATATTTATGCTTCAATGATCCCATGTCTTTTCTAATTTATTTTAGGGTATATTTTAACACAAAGTTAATATGAGTTAAATCTCTTCAATAAATTGTAGCAATATGACAAAAGATTTTTTCCCCATTTAACAATGTTTTGATGACCTTAAAACTTCTAGATATAAAATATATGAGAATATCTTTTTTGACCCTAGTAAAAAGTAGAATTCCTTAATACATAAAACAGCATTGTTCAGGAAAAAAAAGAGAAACTGATTTGACTACACTGAAATAAAAACTAGTCAACAAAAGACATCATTAAAAAAAATAACAAACTCAAAAAAAGGCATCTGTAATCCATAAAAATTACAAATCATTTGTATCTATAGTATATAAAATTATTTCTATAAAACAATAAAAGAAATAACTCTAAAACATAGGCAAAAGATATGAACTTGTGTTTGATAGAAGAGGAAATGCCGAGAATCAAAAAATATTGGAAAAGATGGTCAATCTTATTAGTAATTAGATAAATGTAAATTAAGACAATGTGACACCATTTACACCAACTAGATTTACAAAAATAAAAAGTGTGGCAATGTCAAGTGCTTAAGAGGATGTAGATCAACAGGGTTCGTAAAATGGTATAACCATTGTGGAAAACAATTTGGCATTTTCTTATAAATTCTCTATGACCCAGCAATTTCACTCCTAAGTATACATCTTTGGAAACTTGTATATCATAGCAAAAGACTAAAGAACCCAAATGTCCACTGACAGAATAAACACATGAACTGTACCACATTTTCACAAGTATTTTACAGCAATGAAAAACAAATACACTAGAGCTACATGCAACAATATCTTAGAAATCTCAGAATCTTAGAAAAGCGGTGTTGAATAATTCCCCATCACAAATCTGTTTTATTGTTTGATATTTGTTTTTCCAATGAATTTTCTTCTGGAATCTAAAAAATATTTTTACCAAATAGAAATGTTCATTTGTCAATAAGTACTGAAAGAGTCTTGGCAATTATTAACAGTGATGAAGGTGTCAGATTAAAGCAACCATGCCCTCACCTCTCCATCCTCCCCCACCCCACCTTCTCACCCACCACCACAGCCTCTGTGCTGCTGCCTGGGAACAGTCTGATTATTTGAGAGATTATGGTCAAGAGCAGGAGAATCTAGAAAGAAAGAGGATAACAATGGACAAAAAAAAAAAAAAAAAATAAGAGGAGTAATACTCCTTTGGCCTGGGATTTGAGGGGGCTAAATGTGGAAGAGGAACATTCTGGGCTAATCTCACACATTTTGTGCTGCAATTACAATGATTCTATAACGTAAGCTACTTCTATTATTTAACTTCTTTCCACATTTTGTAAAAGCTTCACTTCTTAGAATGTAATGGATATTACTTAAGTGGATATCTAAAATACATTAATACATCAGACACAATCTTTTCTCAAACTTAAGTTGGATCAATAGTACAACTTACTGTAATGAAATAATGTACAACTTCATAACTAATCTAAAAGAAAGAGAGTTTTTCTAGTAATACTACTAGCTTTATGCAACTATGTAAATTCAATAAATACAGAATCTTAAAATACTTCTACTAATCTTTGTCTTCTTCTCTCCCAATTACCTACCAATAGTCTCAAGCTGACTCACAAGTGCCTAGAAATAAAAACCCTTACCATAAAATAAATGTCTAACAAAAATCTAAAAAAAACAGAAAATAAGAAAAACAATTTATATTCTTGAAGCAGTAACTGAACAAGACTAACTTCTCTTAAAGACTTTGGTAAAATATTCCTACAGCAATTCAGAAGACTACTACACATTTTGTAAATGAAACAAAATTATTGAGCAACAAAAATATTGTCTTCCCTGTTGCAGAAGATAAAGCTTGTGAGTAAATCCCATGCATTTGACTATGAAAACTCAGAAAATTACTCTTTTTCTGCAGAGAGGTCAGTGTATGAAACAGTGAGTAGAAGCAATGTCTAAGATTAATATCACCATGATTAATCTTACTAAATCTCACACCTTCTAACTAGGCAAGTATCATTTTGAGTCACAATACAATTTGTTGTGCCTGGTGACTCTCATGTCCTGGCTATGTGGTGGGATCCAGAAATACGGTACTTCAATTGCTAGAGATTTGTTAGCCTTTATTAACACCCTTAGCATTACTTATGGAGGTACTTTCACACGCACCTAGGAAGCTGACATGTTGCAGGCAGGAAGTGACAACATGGCATAGCTGGCAGGATCTGGAACTCACCACTTTACTGTAGAGGTATAGCAATTAGCAGTCTAGACTTCTGGGAAACTTGCACCCTTAAGTTTAACATCAAGGGGACTACCTAAACTATTTGAATAAAACTATTTCTGCTGTTTCCAAAATTACCTTTTTACTAAATTGCATTTTAACATTTGTCCAACAGCTTTTATTAACCGGGTGAAAATCATGACTGCATCTGCTATAGATGTTGATACTCTATGAATATACTCAGTGCACCTAATATGAGGCCCTATATTATGAGAGAGTTCTTTGAAAATTAAATCTCAGAAGAAACTTGGCTTTCTCTGAGTAGTAATAAGTATGCTTTTTTTTTTTTAAATAGCTAAAGTGAAAATTATTTTGTGCCCTGCTTTATTTTATTTTTGGTTTCCAGGAAGCTCAGATTCAATTTTGATGTTTGACTACTGAAGAAGAAAATGTCAAACATTTTCTTTATCTGATTTTAATATAGTATTTCTATTTATACTTCCCCTGGTATGAATTATTTACTCATATAATTATTTTAGTACTTATGGACTTGTTATAAGCTGACTCAAATACTTTCTGGAACAAGGCATGGAACAAATAAATGACTAATAGAGCATTTCATTTAATTATTCTCAGGTCTATTAACAGAATGATTAATATCATCACTTTAAAAGAGGTCCAAGAAAGAGAGGTGATACATATTATATATAGAAAATAACCAGTGATAAGACCCCTTATTTTTCTCCCACCCCCAGTTATGAAAAACAAATGTCAAAACAATACATGTTAAGGATTTTAAGCAAAAACACACTCTCAGATAAAAACCAACAAACAAACCATTAGATTCCAAACTGTGACCTGTACTCGCACAGCTGACTACTTCATCAGAATTCTTGAGAAAATGACATAAGAAAAATGTCTCCTAAAAGATATATGTTCAACAAGTTAAATGATTAAAGATAATAAGCCATAAGAAAAGTATAACTATCACTGTATATCCCAACTATATGAAGCAATTCTGGAAGTGGGGAGAAAAATGATTCTCTAAAAAGAAAGAGGTAAAGTATTAGCCCATTTATAATATATGAATTCAAAAATAATTTTCTAATAAAAACTTCATATCCAAAAATAAATGTAACATATGACAATAATTTCTGAATTATCAAAATACTATAAATAATTCTGTTCATTTTCATGAAATCCTTCACCAAACCAACAGCACCTCTCACTGCTGTGGCCTCTCCCGTTGCGGAGCACAGGCTCCGGACGCGCAGGCTCAGGGGCCATGGCTCATGGGCCCAGCCGCTCCGCGGCATGTGGGATCTTCCCAGACCGGGGCACGAACCCGTGTCCCCTGCATCGGCAGGCAGACTCTCAACCACTGTGCCACCAGGAAAGCCCAGAACTTAAGTCTTTTATAAGACAGAGGTTAATTAATAATATTTTGAAAGAAAAGATACCTTTTCTTAAACAAGGATATCGAAATAATTTTACAATTCCATAGTCATCAGCTGTAACTAAAACTTGGCCAGTATAGTTTCCATCTACTGAGTTTATATCATTGATATCTGAATACTTGGGCCAAATTCCATTTACTTCAAGGCCTGAAACACATGTCCATGAAGCCCAATGAACACCTTTTATTTCTTCTTTATTTGTCACTTCTTTTCCTCCTAAAGATAAATCACAGTATTAATTTAAGAAGTTATTTCTTTTGATTTTTACTCAAGCATAAACTGTACTGATAACATGGTAAACTCCAAAATTTAAATATCTTCTCCATCCTGTTAAAGGATAATACATGAATAGGTAAGTGAATATAGTAAGGAAAGGAGGAAATTAAGTGCAAGGAGTTGTTAAAAAGCCATTACCAAAATTATGCTGATTCAGAGACATACAGATTTGATGATGATGTAGCTTAGCAGGTTCATGCATGTGGACAGTAAAACTGAACCCTATTAAAATCATGCTACAGATCAGCCACAATGGGGTAAGTTAGAAGGAAAAGTAAAAGCTATACAAAAGTGGAAAATCAGGTATTGAAAAAGAAACCTAAGAAGATACACGGTTGAGAAAGATAACTGAAAGGATCGCAAAGGAAGGATGAGTGACAAGTAATACATTTATGTTAGGTAATAGGACTTCAGGATTCAGTCAATCTTCATTACATACAGATTGTTAATGAAAACTTTTGGAGCGATGCATTAATTTAAATATGCAGCTACTCTTGTTAAATAAGTTATTTTAATATAGTGACTAATTCACTAAGCATCATACTAAATAAAGGGCTGAGAGATAATATTTTGATGGTTGTTTTTATTCTTCTCTTTTTAAATCTTTGATAAAAATTCTGTTTTTCAAAATTAGTTTGTTAGCTATATTATTATTAATATTTGCAAAGTCTGAGATAACAACAAAAACCCAACTTATAGTCAGACATCTGTATCAGTTGTATTTAGTTAATTAGTTGTACCCATTAAAAATGGCATTTTGACTTTCTAATATACACTAGGACTTTACCATATACTACTCATATGGCATGGACTTCAACATAAAATAGGTCTTAGCTCCTCCAAGCAATTAAGTTTTAATTAAGAACCAAAAGGATTTCAAATGATAAGGCAGCCACAGAGAAAAGATCACAATGCCTGAAATATTAGCTTGTATCTTCTTTGATTTCCTATAATCAAATGTAACTTACACTCTGCCTCTAATGAAATTCTAAGATATTTTAAAGGAACTAAAAATCTACAAATTATAAATAATTTATAGGAAATTTTTACCTGGCATCCTATAAAAAAGTCTTTTACCATTCCCATCATTTGTTTGTAAATATCTACTGTCTGAGGACCAGTCCAAGTGAGTGATGAAACTAAGTGATCCAACACATTCCCCAAATTTTTTATAACGCTGAGAAACTCCATAAATATCAACTGAGCTGTCATTGCATCCAACAGCAAGGTAAGTTCCATCTGGTGAATATTTTAACTCATGAATTGCCTCCTTCCGATCTTTAATATGTACAACTTCCGTCATATCTCTGTAAAGAGAAAAAAAATGAGACCATAAACAAAGAAGTCACTACAGAATTAGTTCAGTTTTCAAATGTGTCTAAAATGACTGTGAGGCTGTATCAAGTATTTATAAACCATAAAACAAATGTAAATGAGACAAGTAGTATTAACTCAGGAATAATTTTGCCTAACAGAAATATATGAGGACAATATATGCTGGAAGTAGAGAAAAATGCTAAATTTCAGTTCCTAAATTACTTAATTTTAAGTAGTTCAGAGATTCATACTAAATTTCTGGAGTCATACAATAAAGGAAATAAAGTCATGGATTTTTATGACGAAGTTCCTTATAAGTACTGAGTTTATGAAAAATGCTTAATTATAAAAGCCATGATTTTCAAATTAAATTTTTGTAATGAAGCAAATGCACAAAATTGCATCCAGGAAATAAAGAAAGGAGAAATTGATTTGTATTATTTTAGTAATACATTTGAATATATATCTTTACATAGATACCACTAGTTACTTTTATTTCAACCTCTTTGACCTTTTTTAATAGAATACAAATTCTTCCCAATTAGCGACCATGTCAGCCAGCAAAGTTAAATATTTTTAATGATGCCTTATAACTGACTTTCCAGAAAAATAACAGGTACTGGTAATAGCCATAAAAATGGGTAAACACTTAGTTAAACACTACTGAGTTTCCAAACATGTGGAGTTGGTGGAGAGGTGGAGAAGAGAGAGGCAGCAAGGGAGAAGGGGCAGGAGGAAGTGAGAATTCTATTTCTAACTAGTGCCAGGGACTTTTTCCAAATAAATTTTGCATTACCCATCTGAAACGTTATCAACAGATAATTCAAGAATAAAAGCTTAAATGGTTATTTCCCAATTTTTACAGTTTCTAAATGGACAACTTAAAGCAATAAAACTCATATTTCTTTCAGTAACATTAAGTATTTAACTGTTTTAGGCACATGACACACAAAGATGAACTCATCTTCTGTGAGAGACAGAGATAAAGTAATTATACTTTATAATTGAGAAAATGTAGTGAGTGCTCAAAAGGTTATGTGTGAAGTTCTATAAGAAACACTGAAAAATGGTTAAGACTAAAGGCAGGGGACTTCCCTGGTGGAACAGTGGTTAAGAATCTGCCTGCCAATGCAGGGGACACGGGTTCGATCCCTGGTCTGGGAAGATCTCACATGCCAAGGAGCAACTAAGCCCATGCACCACAACTACTGAGCCCACGATCTAGAGCCTTCAAGCCACAACTACTGAGCCCATGCACCACAACTACTGAAGCCCATGTGCTTTAGAGCCCATGCATCACAACTACCAAGCCCACGTGTCACAACTACTGAAGCCTGCATGCTCTAGGGCCCACGTGCCACAACTACTGAGCCCACGTGCTGCAACTAGCCACCGCAATGAGAAGCCCACACACCACAACAAAGAGTAGCCTGGCTCGCCACAACTAGTGAAAGCCCACGCACAGCTACAAAGACCCAGCGTGGCAATCAATCAATCAATAACTAAAAGACTAAAGGCAGGAAGGGACCAAGGAAGAGTGATACCTATTTGAGCATAAGACCTGAGGGGCTGGCTAAGTATAAAAGACTGAAGGTTTTCCAGAAAGAAGACACAGCATGAGCAATGCAAATACATGGCACATTTGAACAATGTGGATACAAGATAAGTGGGAAAAGCAGTGACTTGATGGGGTTAAAGAGATAAATTGAGGACAGTGTGTAACAGATCTGATACATTGCCAAGGAACTTGGGCTTCACCCTGGTGTTAATCATATAAAGAAAGAGACGAAAATCATCCCCTTAACTACAAAAGGGAATCAGAACAAAACAAAACAAAATAAATGAAGGAAAAAAAAGTACTTTTTAAAAGAGTTTTCCTGGTCAACGTCACTTTTGCCTTAGACCCTGCAACTTGCAAGGTCCTCTTCCTAAGCACAGAATAATGTAGCTACTTCTACCTTTCCCAGTGACTTCTTCCTTTCAGTTTTAATTTAAATCCATGCATCTTACCTCCCTTTCTTCATACCATTCATCCATCCATCCACTCAGCCATCCATTAGTACATCCAGCCATTCATCTATATCTATATGGAGCAAGATTTTTAAGAAAACATCTAAGACACTATTTGAAAGCTTTTCTTTTTTATACCTTCTTTATTAAAATATAATCATTCCAGTATCAATCATGAACATTAGTTAAAATGCTCCTGGAAAATTCTTCAGAATTATTTTGGTAATTTTTTTTACAGCTTTTTTGTTCTAGGGACTTAACTGCTCCCAGTTAACAAGAGAAATAAGTGTGGATATCTGAGGTTGTCTCTTGCTTTCTACCACTGTGGCCCTGTCCACCAACCAACACACGCACACAGAGAAGAAACCAACAGTGAGGGAAAGAGATTCTGATTGACTGGTTTTATAGTATGTATTACGTTATTACATCAACACTATGAATTATAACTATCTTCTCTGACAAAGTTTCTTTGACAAATTTACAGGTAAGAAGACTATTATTAGATGAAAATGTATTGATTTCTAAAAATTCTGAATTAAGTCTTCTGGGAAACTGGTATGCAAATTCTGTGATTTCTTTAAGAAGCAGAGGGAGGTCAAAGCCTGGGAATACTCATTCATTAGCAGTCTGTAACACATCACAAAAGTAAAAGTACACAATATTAATAGAGCATATATACTGATAGAGCATATAACAGAAGAACCGTTCCTAGGTGAAGGTGTTAGAGGAAACAGACCAAAAGAAGTGGAGTTTAAACTTCATTCTGAGGAATTAATGGGACTTAGCTCAGCAGAAGACAGGAACTGGGAGGAAAAAGCCTACATTCCAGCAGAGCTAAAACTATGTGAAATTGCTGATGGCAAGAGAAAGCATTCAAGCTCAGCTTGAGAAGCCCAGTATAGTGGTACTGAAACAAGCAAAGGGGGCTCTGATGTGAGCCAGAGTCTCGCAAGGAAGACTAAGGGAAAATTATAAAAGTCCTCATACATCTAAAGATTTTTGGCCTTAACTTGTAAATATAAGCTAGGGTGGGATGAATCAATCAGATCACTAATCTGGTTCGAGAGTAAAAAACAAATTGAAGGAGTATAACAGCAGGATTAAGACCAATTAGAAGACTACTACAGATGGTGGTTGCTCAGACTTCAGAAAGAAGTGAAATGATCTGAAATATACAGTATTATACAATCCATACTATTATAGAGTATTTAGTACATGTTAAAGATATTATCATTCTAATCTTATTCACAACCTTAACTAAAATGCTCCTAGACAATTCATCAGGTAAGTAAAATCAACAGGATGTAGTGATGGATTATAAATGGTGGTTACCTCCTAGAGAAATGGAAATAAAAACAAAAATAAACAAATGGGACCTAATGAAACTTAACATCTTTTGCACAGCTAAGGAAACCATAAACAAGACGAAAAGACAACCCTCAGAATGGAAGAAAATATTTGCAAACGAAGCAACAGACAAAGGATTAATCCTCAAAATATACAAGCAGCTCATGCAGCTCAATATCAAAAAACAACCTAATCCAAAAATGGGCAGAAGACCTAAATAGACATTTCTCCAAAGAAGATATACAGATTGCCAACAAACACATGAAAGAATGCTCAACATCACTGATCATTAGAGAAATGCAAATCAAAACTACAATGAGGTATCACCTCACATCGGTCAGAATGGCCATCACCAAAAAATCTACAAACAATAAACGCTGGAGAGGATGTAGAGAAAAGGGAACCCTCCTGCACTGCTGGTAGGAATGTAAACTGATACAGCCACTATGGAGAACAGTATGGAGGTTCCTCAAAAAAACTAAAAATAGAACTACCATATGACCCAGCAATCCCACTACTGGGCATATACCCTGAGAAAACCATAATTCAAGAGACATGTACCACAGTGTTCACTACTGCACTATTTACAGTAGCAAGGACATGGAAGCAACCTAAGTGTCCATCGACAGATAAATGGATAAAGAAGATGTAGCACATATATACAATGGAATATTACTCAGCCACAAAAAGAAACGAAATTGAGTTACGTGTAGTGAAGTGGATGGACCTAGAGTCTATCATACAGAGTGAAGTAAGTCAGAAAGAGAAAAAATATGCTAACACATATATATGAATGTTAAAAAAAAAAAAGGTTCTCATGAACCTAGGGGTTGGACAGGAATAAAGACACAGACGTAGAGAATGGACTTGAGGACACAGGGGAGGGGGGAAGGCGAAGCTGGGATGAAGTGAGTCAGAAGCATTGACATATATACACTACCAACTGTAAAACAAAGAGCTAGTGGGAAGCAGATGCATAGCGCAGGGAGATCAGCTCAGTGCTTTGTGACCACCTAGAAGGGTGGGATAGGGAGGGTGGGAGGGAGGCTCAAGAAGGAGGGGTATGGTGATATATGTATACATATAGCTGATTCACTTTGTTATACAGCAGAAACTAACACAACATTGTAAAGCAATTATACTCCAATAAAGATGTAAAAAAAAAAAAAAAATGGTGGTTAGAGAGAGAGAGGTATCTATGATAATGCCTAGGTTTTTGGCTTATACAAGAACATGGACAGAATAGGGCCCAGAGACAGAAGATCAGTTTGGGAGGGGGGATGCTGGGTTCAGCTTTGGACATGCTGAATTGCAGATGTCTTTGAGATACCCAAGTGATGTTAAATAAGCAACTGAATATGCATGACTGGAGTTTAGAGGTGATAACAGGGCTAGAACTATGCATCTGGGATCGTCATGCTATGGGTAGTAACTGAAGCTACAGGCAGGATGCGATTACCTAGTGAGAAAATACAGAGTAAAAAAGAGCAGAAAGCCTAGAATCTGAGCTTTGAGGGACTTCAATTTTACTGGGTAGACAGAAGATAATTAGCATATAAAGAAAATGGAGCCAGAGGCTGCAAAGACAAAGAGAATTAACATCTAAAGCCAGGGAAGAGCATGTTTTGAGAAGGAGCAAGTTGTTCAAGGGGTCAAATTTACTGCTGAGAATCAATTTAGATGAGAACTGAAAAATATCTCCTGGTTTTAGTTACAGGGCACTATTAGTGAGGGTTTTCCAATTTAAAGATGAAGGCAAAAGCTATATTGGAATGGGGGTAGAAAGTTGATAAGTTAATTGGAAGGAAAGAGAGATAGTAAAATAGGCAGGTTTTTGAGATTTTTACTGTGAAAGAGAAGAGAGTAGAGATGTGATATAACCAAAGAGGGCCTCAGGCTCGAGGTGGGAATTTTAAGATAAGACATATTTGAGCATGTTTTAATAGTGCTCTTGGTTGGGGCAGAGAGACAAAAACACCTTCGATGTGAAAAAATAATGGACATAAAAGAGTTACTTTTTGAAAGCCAGGAAACAACTTTCAGAACTTATTACTCCCATGAAATGAGGCAGACAAAATATAAATATGTTGAAAAAAAATTAAATGAATGTGTGATTAGTTAGGGGAAAAACTGTCCTAATCCTTTTAAAGTTGATATAACTCAGCAGTGACACTGTCAGAAAAGACAACTGGCTAAAGACTGGTAGAATCTAAAATGGCAACGTTAATATTTTTACAACTAAAGTCTACCCCATACACTGCAGGAAACCTTACTCCATCTTCAGCATAATTTATTAACCATGCTCACCAAGCTCTTCCACTGAAGTCTCCCTAATTACTTATGAGAATGAATTAGCGCCTCTGAAGAGTTTGATGTTGATAATACCATGCAGCCCACCACCAAAGTTTTATATGTATTCATATGTATCTTCTAATTTGAAAAATATTTGCAATTTTTCATTTGACTCCATGATATTAGTGTTTGTTTTAATATAAAATTATTTAACATTTTTATCACAAGAAAAAGAGACGTTCTAAGAAGTTATATGATTTTGCCCTGGCACATCACCTTGTACCCCAATTTAAGAATCAGTGTGTTAGTTTCTAATCTATGCTATGTTCCTCTAATCATAACATAACCACTCCTGTGAGGGCACTTTACTACTGCTATACTTATAAATTCTGCTCTATGATACAGAGAATATACACAGCGAACCAAGAAGAAACAGTGACCAGGTAAATTAAGAAGGATTAGGAATATTTTTGAGGGAGTTCCCTGGTGGCCTATTGGTTAGGATTCCAGGCTTTCACTGCCATGGCCCAGAGTTCAATCCCTGGTCAGGGAACTGAGATCGCGCAAGCTGTGCGACGCATGCCTCACTTACCCCCAAAAAAGAATATTTTTGAGTTGCTAAAATACTGACTTACTAGAGATAATTTATTCACCCAGTTTCTTGCATACAATAATTGAAAGGACAAGTAAATGTACAAACGAAAAAATAACAATCACTATTTTTAATGCATACCAACTATCTGACAGAAATTCCCAGGTGTTTTACATGCATCTTAAATTCTTGGTTGTAAAACAACCCAAATGTACTTAATGACACTGAGTTTTACACTTAAAAATGTTTAAAATGGTAAATTTTATATTATGTATGTTTTATCACAATAAAAAATTAGATTAAGAGAAAAATCTCAGCATATCTCATTATAGAAACCTGTCCCAGAAAGAAGAGTCATATCTATAGCAGCTCAGAAGTACAAGAGAACATGATGTATCTGAAAAAATGAAAGATGTTTTATACATGCTAAAAGAAAGAGACTGCAGTAGAAAGAAATAGGCTAGAGAGATGGGCAGGATATGCTATGTTAAGAATTATGAACTTCATCCTAAGGACAGTGCGATGCTTTTATCATACTTTAGAAAGACGAGGGATGCAAACAAATGTGTTTTAAAAGGCATCACTATAACTGTAGAGTGTTAAAAAGGACTTGAGGAAGCAAAATAGGAGGTAAGGAGACCAGCTGAGATGCTATTCCACCAATCCAGGTAAGACATGGCAAAAGTTTATAAAAGAGTACAGTGGTGAGAGTGGAAGGAAGCAGATTAATTTGAGAGCTATTCAGGAATTAGGTTCTCCAGAATTTAGTGATTAACTAGACATGAGAGACAAAGGAGAGAAATGAATCAATGGTTTCTGGATTGGGCAACTGGGTGGATGGCCCTATGATTCATTAAACTGGATGTGGAAAATTTCATAGATACTTATCGTGAACACGTGTGGATCTACAGCAAATTTTTAAGTGGCTGTATAGAATTCAACTGAATGCAATAATCCAACATATCTACAATCCAACAAAAGATGCTAACTGCTTTAACAAATTCTTTAAACTTTTCTAATTACCCAAACAAAGGGAGAGATGCAGGCATGTTTTTCAAAGCATAAATCTGCAAATGACAACAAAACCATTCACTCATTTTTAACAGTTTCAAGGTCTCATTCTCCCTCTTCTATGTCAGAAGATCATTACTGAAAATCAATACTACCAAGAAATGGAAATCAAGACCCAAATTTAACTCAAAATTTTAGTCATTAATCTACTAAGCATTCTTAATCCCCCAAACCAAGGGTTTTGAGTTAACTTAATTTTCTGACAAAGCCATTTTTAAAAACATATTTTTTATACTTAATGAAACTAATATTTGAGAAAATGTATGTTAATAAGAAGGGAGGGGGTTAAAGGAAATGGGTAAAAATAAGTACTATGCATTCTATCTCACTTAACAGAATTTACTCTCTCTTTCTACTTCTACCCTATTACATACCTTACTCTAAGTACAGTGAATGAGCCATCCTTCATTCCAAGGGCAAGATGGATCCCATCTACATTTACAGCTGCACAACGAATTGGTTCTTCCATATTACACCTTGCTATTAGTGCATGATCAACTAGGCTCCATATCCTGTAACATTTAATTAAAATAAAAGAACAGTTAACTAACATATGCTTAAAAAATGATAGACTCTATGAAAAAACTGTTGGTTAAAATAATAATTTCATTTTAAGAAGGCAAGATAAACCTAGATTTTTAACTGTATGCTTGTGGCTGGGAATTCTTATCTACGAAACAGAAGTACTCTTAATGCTTAAAATGACAAGGGTTAATAGAATCTTTTATTTATTTATTTACTTTAACATCTTTATTGGAGCATAATTGCTTTACATTGTTGTGTTAGTTTCTGCTGTATAACAAAGCACATCAGCTACATGTATACATATATCCCCATATTCCCTCCCTCTTGCATCTCCCTCCCACCCTCCCTATCCCACCCTTCTAGGTGGTCACAATGCACTGAGCTGATTTCCCTGTGCTATGCAGCTGCTTCCCACTACCTATTTTACATTTGGTAGTGTATATATGTCAATGCCACTCTCTCACTTCATCCCAGCTTACCCTTCCCTCTCCCCATGTCCTCAAGTCCATTTTCTACGTCTGCATCTTTATTCCTGTCCTGCCCCTAGGTTCTTCAGTACCATTTTCTTTTTTTAGATTCCATATATATGTGTTAGCATATGGTATTTGTTTTTCTCTTTCTGACTTACTTCACTCTGTATAACAGACTCTAGGTCCATCTACCTCACTACAAATAACTCAATTTCGTTTCTTTCTATGGCTGAGTAATATTCCATTGTATATATATGCCACATCTCCTTTATCCATTCATCTGTCGATGGACACTTAGGTTGCTTCCATGTCCTGGCTATTGTAAATAGAGCTGCAATGAACATTGAATTATGGTTTTGAATTATGGTTTTCTCAGGGTATATGTCCAGTAGTGGGATTGCTGGGTCATATGGTAGTTCTATTTTTAGGTTTTTGAGGAACCTCCATACTGTTCTCCATAGTGGCTGTATCAATTTACATTCCCACCAACAGTGCAAGAGGGTTCCCTTTTCTCCACACCCTCTCCAGCATTTACTGTTTGTAGATTTTTTGATGATGGCCATTCTGACCGGGGTGAGGTGATACCTCATTGTAGTTTTGATTTGCATTTCTCTAATGATTACTGATGTGGAGCATCCTTTCATGTGTTTGTTGGCAATCTGTATATCTGCTTTGGAGAAATGTCTATTTAGGTCTTCTGCCCATTTTTGAATTGGGCTTTTTGTTTTTTTGAGATTTAGCTACATGAGCTGCTTGTATATTTTGGAGATTACTGCTCTGTAAGTTGCTTCGTTTGCAAATATTTTATCCCATTCTGAGGGTGGTGTTTTCGTCTTGTTTATGGTTTCCTTTGCTGTGCAAAAGCTTTTAAGTTTCATTAGGTCCCATTTGTTTATGTTTGGTTTTATTTCCATTTCTCCAGGAAGTGGGCCAAAAAGGATCTTGCTGTGATTTATGTCATAGAGTGTCCTGCCTATGTTTTCCCCTAAGAGTTTTATAGTGCCTGGCCTTACATTTAAGTCTTTAATCCATTTTGAGTTCATTTTTGTGTATGGTGCTAGGGAGTGTTCTAATTTCATTCTTTTACATGTAGTTGTCCAGTTGTCCCAGCACCACTTATTGAAGAGGCTGTCATTTGCCATTGTGTATTCTTGCCTCCTTTATCAAAGATAAGGTGACCATATGTGCGTGGGTTTATCTCTGGGCTTTCTATCCTGTTCCATTCATCTATATTTCTGTTTTTGTGCCACTACCATACTGTCTTGATTACTGTGGCTTTGTAGTATAGTCTGAAGTCAGGGAGCCTGATTCCTCCTGCTCCGTTTTTTTACCTCAAGATTGCTTTGGCCATTCAGGGTCTTCTGTGTTTCCACAGAAACTGTGAAATTTTTGTTCTAATTCTGTGAAAAATGCCAGTGGTAGTTTGATAGGGATTGCATTGAATCTGTAGATTGATTTGGGTAGTACAGTCATTTTCACAATACTGATTCTTCCAATCCAAGAACATGGTGTATCTCCATCTGTTTGTATCACCTTTAATTTCTTTCATCACTACCTTATAGTTTTCGGCATACAGGTCTTTTGTCTCCTTAGGTAGGTTTATTCCTAGATATTTTATTCTTTCTGTTGCAAGGGTAAATGGGAGTGTTTCCTTAATTTCTCTTCCAGATTTTCATCATTAGTGTATAGGAATGAAAGAAATTTCTGTGTATTAATTGTGTATCCTGCTACTTCACCAAATTCATTGATCAGCTCTAGTAGTTTTCTGGTAGTATCTTTAGGATTCTCTACGTACAGTATCATGTCATCTGCAAACAGTGACAGTTTTACTTCTTCTTTTCCGATTTGGATTCCTTTTATTTCTTTTTCTTCTCTGACTGCTGTGGCTAAAACTTCCAAAACCATGTTGAATATTAGTGGTGAGAGTGGGCAACCTTGTCTTGTTCCTGATCTTAGTGAAAATGGTTTCAGTTTTTCACCATTGAGAATGATGTTGGCTGTGGGTCTGTCATATATGGCCTTAATTATGTTGAGGTAAGTTCCCTCTATGCGTACTTTCTGGAGAGTTTTTATCATAAATGGGTGTTGAATTTTGTTGAGAGCTTTTTCTGCACCTACTGAGATGATGATATGGTTTTTCTCCTTCAATTTGTGAATATGGTGTATCACATTGATTGATTTACTATACTGAAGAATCCTTGCATTCCCGGGATAAATCCACTTGATTATGGTGTACGATTCTTTTAATGTGCTGCTGGATTCTGTTTGCTAGTATTTTGTTACGAAGTTTTGCATCTATGTTCATCAGTGATATTGGCCTGTAGTTTTCTTTTTTTGTGCCATCTTTGTGTGGTTTTGGTAGCAGGGTGATTGTGGCTTCATAGAATGAGTTTGGGAATGTTCCTCCCTCTGCTATATTTTGGAAGAGTTTGAGAAGGATAGGTGTTAGCTCTTCTCTAAATGTTTGATAGAATTCTCCTGTGAAGTCATCTTGTCCTGAGCTTTGGTTTGTTGGAAGATTTTTAATCACCGTTTCAATTTCAGTGCTTGTGATTGGTCTATTTATATTTTCTATTTCTTCCTCATTCAGCCTCAGAAGATTGTGCTTTTCTAAGAATTTGTCCATTTCCTTCAGGTTGCCCATTTTATTGGCATATAGTTGCTTATAGTAATCTCTCATGATCCTTTGTATTTCTGCAGTGTCAGTTGTTACTTCTCCTTTTTCATTTCTAATTCTGCTGATTTGAGTCTTCTCCCTTTTTTTCTTGATGAGTCTGGCTAATGGTTTACCAATTTTGTTTATCTTTTCAAAGAACCAGCTTTTAGTTTTATTGATCTTTGCTGTCATTCCCTTCATTTCTTTTTCATTTATTTCTGATCTGATCTTTATGATTTCTTTCCTTCTGCTAACTTTGGGGTTTTTTTGTTCTTCTTTCTCTAATTGCTTTAGGTGTAAGGTTAGGTTGTTTATTTGAGATTTTTCTTGTTCCATGAGGTAGGATTATATTGCTATAAACTTCCCTCTTAGAACTGCTTTTGGTGCATCCCACAGGTTTTGGGTTGTCGTGTTTTCATTGTCATTTGTTTCTAGGTATTTTTTGATTTCCTCTTTGATTTCTTCAGTGATCTCTTGGTTATTCAGTAGTGTATTGTTTAGTCTCCATGTTTTTTTTTTTTTTAACAGATTTTTTCCTGTAATTGATATCTAGTCTCATAGCACTGTGGTCAGAGAAGATACTTGATATGATTTCAATTTTCTTAAATTTACCAAGGCTTAACTTGTGACCCAAGATATGATCTATCCTGGAGAATGTTCCATGATCACTTGAGAGGAGAGTGTAATCTGCTGTTTTGGGATGGAATGTCCTATAAATATCAATTAAATCCATCTTGGTTAATGTATCATTTAAAGCTTGTGTTTCCTTATTTATTTTCATTTTGGATCATCTGTCCTTTGGTGAAAGTGGGGTGTTAAAGTCCCCTACTATTATTGTGTTATTGTCGATTTCCCCTTTTATGGCTGTTAGCATTCGCCTTATGTATTGAGGTGCTCCTATGTTGGGTGTGTAAATATTTACAATTGTTTTATCTTCTTCTTGGATTGATCCCTTGATCATTATGTAGAGTCCTTCTTTGTCTCTTGTAATAGTCTTTATTTTAAAGTCTATTTTGTCTGATATGAGAATTGCTACTCCAGTTTTCTTTTGATTTCCATTTGCATGGAATATCTTTTTCCATCCCCTCACTTTCAGTCTGTATGTATCCCTAGGTCTGAAGTGGGTCTCTTGTCGTCAGCATATATATGGGTCTTGTTTTTGTATCCATTCAGCCAGTCTGTGTCTTTTGGTTGGAACACTTAATCCATTTTCATTGAAGGTAATTACTGATATGTATGTTCCTATTACCATTTTCTTAATTGTTCTGGGTTTTTATTGTAAGTCTTTTCCTTCTCTTGTGTTTCCTGCCTAGAGAAGTTCCTTTAGCATTTGTTGTAGAGCTGGTTTTGTGGTGCTGAATTCTCTTAGCTTTTGCTTGTCTGTAAAGATTTTAATTTCTCTGTTGAACCTGAATGAGATCCTTGCTGAGTAGAGTAATCTTGGTTGTAGGTTTTTCCCTTTCATCACTTTAAATATGTCCTGCCACTCCCTTCTGGCTTTCAGAGTTTCTGCTGAAAGATCAGTTGTTAACCTTATGGGGATTCCCTTGTATGTTAATTGTTGATTTTCCCTTGCTGTTTTTAATTTTTCTTTGGATTTAATTTTTGATAATTTGATTAATATGTTTCTTGTCTTATGTATTGAGGTGCATGTTTCTCCCTGGGTTTATCCTGTATGGGACTCACTGCACCTATTGGACTTGATTGACTATTTCCTTTCCCATATTAGGGAAGTTTTCAACTATAATCTCTTCAAATATTTTCTCAGTCCCTTTCTTTTTCTTTTCTTCTGGGACCCCCTATAATTCGAATGTTGTTGCATTTAATGTTGTCCCAGAGGTCTCTGAGACTGTCCTCATTT